TTTGAAAAAAGCGAAATTACTTTCGGAATGAGCAAATATAATATCTTTTAGTGAGGTTTACGTCACTGGCGATAAAGTCGTTCGATCATTTGGAGAATAAAGAAATATCAATCTCAGCAAATCTTGAAAAAAAAACAGTTCAAGTAAGGGCCGCATGCACTAACATCGCCGTGGGGAGGGGATCGTAGCTTAGAAGAAAGCTTTATATATTTCGAAACTCCAGTTACCTTGATTTCACGTTGTGTACCTATCCGTAACTATTCCTACTACCCTTCACTATGAACATGTTGAAGAGGAGCGAGAAGCTATACAAACCACATTTTCCAGCTTTTGCATGATCCCTGATGATCCCCGGCGCTTTTCTTTAAAGTCATTTTTCTTTCTCCGAAGTTAACGGAAAACTTCCAAAGTTGTGCGTATTATCTAACCGACAGCGCGAAGCATGTTGCTGATAAGAACAAATGATGTTTTGGAGTCATGAAATTTTCGATGATCCACAGGTCGAAATTTGAGGTTTACCGAAAAATTCGACTTTTCAAAAACTCATTTGTTCTCATAAGCAACATGCTTAACACTGTTGTGTTAAATGTTCAGTACAACTTTGGAAGTTTTTCGTTAACTTCGGAGAAAGAAAAATGACTTTAAAGAAAAGCGCTGGGGATCATCAGGGATCATACAAAAGCTGGAAAATGCGGTTCGTACAGCTTCTCGCTCCTGTTCAACATGTTCATAGTGAAGGGTAGTAGGAATACTTACGGATAGGTGCACAACGTGAAATCCAGATATTTGGAGCTTCAGAATATGAAGCTTTCTTTTAAGCTGCAATCCCCTCCCCAGGATTGCAGCTTAAAAGAAAGCTTTATATTCTGAAGCTCCAAATATCTGGATTTCACGGTGTGGAGGTTAAAAGCGGAGAGGTTAGTGCATGCGGCCCTAAAAGTACATTAGTGGTAAGACGTTTTTGAAAAAGAACGGTCGAGGCGGAAAAATACCCTAGACATGTTATGTTATCATCGTGCATTGTAAAGGCGCAGTTGTTCATGTAAGAGTGTTTTTTAATCTAGGTGAATGCTCTAGTGCCGGGAGCGGCCACGGATTGGGATCAATGGGCTCCAGAGAATGCACTTGAAAATACGCAGAAAGCCATGAAGATCGCTCAAGACAGGCTTGGTGTGGAACCAGTGAGTTGATTATATTACAGCTTGAGAAGGTTCATGAGTTCACTGTCGCACCGTGTGTAGTGCTGGCTCAGAATCCGGTTAGTGCTGAGGGTATGAAACTGGGTTTTTTCCATCGTAAGGATGATTTTGCTCCTTTGGATTCCAGATAAGGGTGTGTCCCAAGATGAACATTAGCTGCAAATATGTAAGCATACTGCACTTTTGTAGTTGTCAAATGCTGCACATGTAGTCGTCTTTTTTGAAGCAGTATGTTCTTCGCTGGATTGCAAATGTTGTCAAAAAGTAGGAATTAGAGCTTAGAGCTCTCAGCTTATTTCGAAAGTTACAGGATCATAGCTTAAATATAGGATTGGGGAATATTTGACCTATGCAGCATAGATGGCACAAGCTAATGTTCGTGTTGGCTGCCTCCTCCACATAGCTTAGCGTCGAAACGGTTGTTTCTATGCAGTTAGCAAAAGTACTGTCAGAGTTTTGCTTCATTTGAGGTAAAGGCAGAAGAGGAGAAGTTGGATAAGTGCGTAACGGTTGACATGACAACATTGTTTAAGATTTTCTTTGCTCTACTCTAAAGTGTGAAGTAGAGCAAAAAAATACTCTCAGGTTCAAACATGCGTATACTCCACAAACGGCAAAATATTGTCCTGTTTGGAATCGCGCTGGGCATTCAGTTTCGCGCAGAAGAGATCCTGCACCGTATTGCTGCTACATCATTCTATCGTTGCACATCAAAAGTGTCAAAAAAGAAAAACAACAGGAAATTCCTTTTTTTCGAAGCATCCAATATCTAGTAGAATCATACTCTTTTTCCCCCAGAACTTGCTTAGGGCCTTCAAAGGTTACGCACTTATTGAAAGCAAAATCTATTCAGCTGAAAGTTTTAAGATTACGCGCATTTTGACTTTATAGAAGCCACTCAAGTGTGAAGTTTGTCACCGTCGCAAAAACATTATTTAACTGATATCGCAGTATCATGGGGATGTGACGGTTAGTTTGTGTTGCATACACGAACGATTTTAGAGACTTCTTTCACCTTTCCTCGTCACCGTTCAACAAATTATTAGGTTGTCCGGAAATTAATGTCCGTTTTGGTTTCCAATTGCAATAATTCATATGTTTTTCATCCCTGAATAGCTTTCAAAGTATCATTCGATAGAGCAAAGCAAGCTCTACAAGATGACCATCTTGCTTTTGCAGCAGCTCTCATCCACCTCAAGTTTCGAGCCAAAAATTAAAAAGACTCAGGAGCCGGAAAAATCGAAACAAATCGTAACTCAGTTCATAAAAACCTACAAAAATTCTTACTTGCCCACGTAAACACTATCCACATAAAACATCTATATACCCCTCTGGCGTATTTTCTCCTTTGTTAGAAATCAAGAAAAAGGAAATTTTCGTGCAATTTCCAAAGTAATGCTGTTCCCTCCCCACATAGGTAGTTGTATACTACAAACCTGTAGAAGTACAAACGTAAATTTTCAGCTCTCTACAAGCTTTAGTTCTCGTGAAATTTAAATTATAGCTTGGATCACCTAACTGGGGAAAGCTATAATCGGTATTTCTCGAGAACTAAAGCTTGTAGAGGGGCGAAAATCTAAGTCTGTACTTTTACAGGCTTGTGGTATACAACTACCTATGTGGGGAAGGCACAGCATCACTTTGGCGAATGCACGAAAATTTCCTTTTTCTTGGTTTCTAACAGAGGGAAAAATACGGCAGAGGCGTATATTGATGTTTTATGTTGATAGTGTTTACGTGAACAAACAAGAATTTTTGTAGGATTTTTTGAACTGAGTTACGATTTTTTTCGATTTTTCGGGTTGCTGAGTTTTATTAGTTTTTGGCTCGAAACTCGAGGTGGATGAGAGCTGCTGCAAAAGCAAAATGGTCGTCTTGTAGAGCTTGCTTTGCCCTATCGAATGATACTTTGAAAGCTATTCAGGAATGAAAAGCGTATGAATTATTGCAATTGGAAACCAAAACGGACATTAATTTCCGGACAACCTAATATTTGAACATTGCCTGCTTAATCTACAGGGTGCTGCAATACTGATGAATATTCTTCATGCTACCGCTGAAGAGTAAATCAAAAAATGTAGGAATTATATCATTTGCTTGCGCAATAAGCTACACAAGATAGCGTTAAAAAGGATGGTCCACATTTTGCAGACACATACTAAACAATTACGGCATCAGGTTTTCACATGTGCTGTAGCTGAATAATTTCTATGCCCAATACAAGAAACGATGCACCAAAAATACAAAAATATCGCCCTTTTGTTGCTGCACGCTAATATTCAAAACTTGCTCTCATTAGAGGCTAAGAATTTACGTCATTCTTGCAATAAGCTTTAGTTCAGGAAAATCCATGTGAGAACAACTCAGCATTGTTTGTCTAGCATGCCGGTTCTAGCTCTACTTGTAAAGCTTGCCTTGCTTTATCAACTTACATGTTTCATGGTTTTTGTATATACTCTCTCGCGAAACAGTTTGGATTCCATACAATTTCGCTAATATCAGCCATTCTCATAGTGCTGTAAAGGTGTTTGATTTTGAAATATAGCTTTTGCGCTTCTTCTCTAGCCTGAAATACCAACCATAGTCAGTTGCATCATTCGCGCAAAATCGGCGTGGAAGAAGCAGTAGACTACGGTGGCGTTTTGCGCGATACTACGGCTTATTCATAATTTATTCGAATCTTTCTTTACCGAATTTCGTTTAACTACTTGAATGTAACGACTGTGCTCTCGACTCTGATAGAGTTCGGCCTTGTCTTGTACATCCAATCGAAGCACTTTCCACAAGATCGAACTACCGCACGTCGGTAATGCCGTGTGATGAGCAATAATACGATAGTATTGAGCAGGCTGTGAAGAGAAACCGTTTGCGATATTATAAGGTTCCAAACTGAAACTAGCAAGAAGTTGTAGATCACTGTGCTGAATGAGACGAGTGAAAACTGACATTCAGCTCCGAATGGAACATCAATATAACGAGAGGAGAAAATCACGACTAGAGGGATAAGTGTCGTAATAACTGGGATAGTAATCTTAAAACTAGACTTGAACATCTTTGTAATTGTTTATCTGAAGTTTCTGTCTGTCCTTTCCCACCTGTAAAATCAAATGGATTGTCAGAGTGCGGTGCATCTCCAGATTTTTTGCGCTCATAGATTTCCTTTTGTGGTGAAGACTTAGGATTATAATAGCTGCCACAATCATGCATAAAAGGACTATTATAAAAGCGCTCGCAAGCCACACAGCTTCAAAAACTGTGAATGTCACGTCGTTTGTTTCAGCGATGAGGTAGGAGTTATAGCCTTCCAGAAATCTGAGCCGTCCTGTATTCTGAAGCAGAAAGTTGATTCAAAGATCTTTCACGCCATAAAAATAGCTTTTGTAAGTGGCGTATCATCATATCAAAAGTAGCATCTCAACGTAGTAGTAACTCAGAGAGATAGTTTATTGGTACTCTTTATGGTACTCTTTGAACTTACTTTGACCATTTCGCGCATCTGACTATGTGGTCTGAACGAAATTATCAGAATTGCGACGATTGGTAATAGACCGAGTGCGTATGTTGTAGGAATAATCCATTTTGAGCTAATGTCGGAGAGGCCTTGAAAGGGCCCAAACTGCCCCAGTGCTTGCAGTCGGTATATGAATGCGACCAATGTACTGCACAATGTGCATTGTAGTAGTATCAAACATATACACTGAAACATCAGAATTTTTATCATTAAACTTAAGCGGAGTTGCCTCAGAGCGCTTCACTAACCAACATAATGTAGTTTGCGTTTTCACTAACGTTAGGTAAATATGCTTTCGAGTAGCAGGCGATGTCTGGAAATAGCGGAATAGGGTCGTATAGGAAACATATTGTGAAATCTGTGACAAATGTTGTGCCCTGAATTCAAAGCTGATTAGAATTTTACTAAAGTTCTTTTCTTGGCAGTTGTGAACATAGTCATTACCGTTAGATTTATGATAATCCATTTGTAAGCTTTCATTTGTGGTGGAGTGCTTTTGACAATTATTGTTAGTGCAAGTACTGTCATCGGAACATCTAGTAGGCAAGCAAGCATAAATATGAGTTCCACTAGATTCCGACCTCTTATACGTAGTAAAGGGTATCCGTCGATATCGAACATTCCTGGAGTTGAACGTATGGCAGAGAGTTCCAGATGCTCACATGAAAATAAGTGAGCAGAATATAAGAGTGGAACGAGGCGATTGTGTTGCATGAAATTCTATCTAATCTCTGAGTAGCGCTAAAAAACATAGAGCACATAATCTCCAGACTTTTTTGTAAAATGGAGATGTCCTTAGCTACCCCTTGAGCTATATTTTTTCAGCTGATCACGCCTGGTGAGCTGATTCATCCGGAGATTGATGAAATGTCGGTAATGACGTATCTGTCACAATTCCCAGCTGCCAAGTGGGTTACTTATCTATAGGAGCGCATGTATGCTAAGATATTCTGAAAGTTTAAGGTTGGATGAAGTAAAGAAAGTGCTTCCTGAAGAACCAATAGCTTCTGGAAGTTTGATGGATTTGAATGCTTTCCCTGTGGTCAATATGCCGACTGAATTTGTAGTCAATATAGTTGGAGACGGCTACAAGCCAAAGGTAAGAAGGTTAGAGTGATAACCAATGAATGAGAGCTGTTGGAAAGTACTTTCATGCTTAGATGAAAATCATTGATCCGGATGGGCGTGAAGTGCATTATACGGTCGCTGAAGAAGATCCGCACAAGTTTATCATCACCTATACTCCATTACGTGACGGAATCTATCATGTGAGTCGCGTAAAAAGTTCGTGGTTAGATTGCTGGTTATAAAGTTAGTGAAAAACGAAGAACAAATGAAAAAACAGAAGTCGAAGATAAAAGCAAATCAAACGGAGTTTGTTTCAGATCTCTCTAGCCCTCAGAGATTTAGCATTAGGAACTGTCACACCCGTAGAAGGAGTTACTCGGACCATTGAAGTAGGTGACGCTACCGTGACGTCATTCTGCTTTATTCAGTTCTCTTTGTCTTATACATTACACGCTTTCAGGCCCTGCCTATCGTTCGCTTGTGTTCGTATCCAGAACGAGTGCGGGTTGGTGATCCTGTGCCTCTGCGCGTAGAAGGAGCGATCAGAGGATCAGTTGAAGTAGTGGTAGTTGATGCTCTTGGAGGAGAACATCAGTTAGCTGTCATAGGCGAGTTGCTTTTAACCAGTTAGAATAAGGCCTAGTGACTCAGCTCTCGTTCAAGTTTAGAAGGATCCAATAGAGGTGTCTTCGACTGTGAGTACACACCCAAACACCCCGGCCTGCATACATTGAACGTCTTCTACAATCGAATGGCTATTCATGGAAGTCCATTCCCCTTGAGAGCTGCTGACAGAAGTGAGTAAACTGTACGGATGCCGGGAAATACTGTTGAAAGGCGCGTGTTGATCTGCTGTTTTAAGTAAGAGGAGCAGAAAAGAAGCTCAAAATTATTTCGTTTGGATTTCAACTACATATGCAATCCTCCGCCGCTTATGCTGATATTTTGACAAAAATTTTGAAGTCAAAAATCTTGCTTTTGTGGAGTACGATCCAAATTGGCGATGACTACTGCCGAGACGTGCGCTTTTCGACGCACACCCCGAAAGCCATACATTTTCATTTACGTAGAAGATCGCATTTGAGTAAGCGCGAACAGGGAGATTGTACGTTTGGGAAAGGCAATTTGAGCTGAGAATTATGGAAGGGGATGGTGACTCTAAGGTTTACCGCTCTGTTGAAACATGATCATAAGAACCTAGTTATGGACTGACTCACAGAAAATTTGGTGTTCAATTTGATATAATTACAAAATGTAATGTACAAACGTTATTGATAGTCAAGAAAGGCCTATAACGAGGATTCGTGCTGATGCATGAGGAACGTAATTGATTAGATGATTAAAAAGAACAGCCAAAGAAGCAAAAGAGAGATTTAGCTTGAGGATACACCCAGATTTTGAAGTCAAGCAACTTTTATTACAATTGGTGCAGTCGGAATCTTCATATGTAGAATGCTTTGGTCTCATTCCTCATGCGCTTCTTGCTAGTTCGTAGACCACGTGCATGCTTGAAAAAAAAAAAGGTTTTTCTGCTTCTTAGTTGGCAAATAAGAAACATTCAATTGGAAGCAATCGCAGAGAAGGTATCACTCATGAAATAAAATGCAATCATAGTATCCGCGTTATTCAATGTTGTTCCAGCGATCGGTATCAACATGTTTATGAAAGTGCTTCGAACATACTAGGCTGTTGCATAAGTTCTGTCCGATTTGAATTTTTGAGTTTAAAATGTCATAACTTCTTTCAGAGTCAACTTTTTTCCAAGGTCTTAGTTTCTATGTGTTGAGCAGTCCCTTGGCTAAAAAATGCATATTGAGATCTGCGCAAATCTTTGTTAAGGAAGAACCAAGAATGCAAAAACTTCGCAGCGTTTTTCTTCGAATCTGTCTTTTTTGACATGGTAACGCTCCCTTATGAAAATTGATAGGCATCTTTTCTAATAATGGATGGATAGAGAAATTTTCGTAGATTATTATGCAACATAAAAGAGCCCATAGGGTTTGCGCTGCCGAGAGATTTTCTTGACCAAACAAAAAATTAGCCACTTTTTGACCTCGCTTCAGCACATGTGTGCATGCCTATTTATGAACTACGAACGTTTTACAACTGACGTGAGCGCCGAAAAGGAATTGGTGGATGGGCCCTGTTAGCTCTTGCTTTGCCCTAGCACCTCCAACTTTGAGCTTGTCGATTACTTCTATTCGCAGAAAGTTATTGCTTGTAAAACATCTATACCAAAGATTTATGTTCGAGGATAAATTTCACTAGCAAGACGTATTCTTCATGGGACCGAACTTCTGCATATACTAGCATTCCAAACCCTTATTCCGAAGCCAATGAAAGAACCTGACTTGAAGGGCGCATTGTGGAGATATCCTCGCAAGGACATATTTTAGGGATAGAACGTACCTCGGCCACTTAGAGATTTTAGGCCTGTGATCTCCGTACACTAAGAGTTTTATTGAATTCTGGTATGCTTTAGAAAGCGCAAGGAAAGCACTTTTCAATGATACCAACCGTATCGAATTAGAGATGAAATTCTCTTAGAACAGCTGCTTCAAACATGAGGCAAAAAAATCGGACAGAACTTATGCAACAGCCTAGTATCTGACTAAAAGAAAAGTTTCGTTTTGTATGAGATTGCGAATGTAATCAGTCTGAAAGTAACTTGCTCAGAACACAGTCCAGGGTCAAAAAAAGGTACGCTAGTGGTCTCACGCTGAATCAACGTTCGAATAAAATTTGAAAGAAAAAACACCAACGTCTGTTCGGTGCTCGTGAATAGAGCAGATAGGCACATTGAAATCATTGAGAAAAAGAGATGAAAAAGGAGTGGTAAAGAACATCTCTATAGACTAAACCTAGAAATCCACAGCCACTGCCAGTTCATTCTTTGAGGAAGATGCTTCACATATGCCTAGAATTCTTTTTTTCTTGAGAAATAAGTCAATTTTGATTTTCTGTCTCTCCTAGGTGTCTAGAATTTTTCGAGATTCACTGAGATGTAATGAACGACATCATGCGGAAACAACATTCCCTGAGTCATCAGTTCACGGTAGTCTATCAGTAAAGGTGTTAATATGCAAGGCAAAGGTAGATGCGTCATAGATAGCAAGGGTGGAATTTAGGTGGGAGGGAATCAGAGAGAGAGCTTTTCTTTTCTCGAAACTAATCTACGGAATTTTGGAAAGTGGATCAACTTATGGAACTGTAACAGCAAGTGCTTCTACGTAGATTCAACAGTTTTCTAATGCAAATCTGGCTTTGGGTTTGAGGAATTCATTTTGCTAAGCTCGCTATGATTCTGACAAACTCAGGTAAATTTCCCGCCCCCCCCCCCCCCTCCCCCTCCCCCCTTAACCTCTTGCAAAATCCTGGGCCGTAGATAGCACTAGTCCAGCAAGCAAAGAGTCGCACAACGAGTTGTCGAGAGCTGTAACATCTGAAGCAGCTTGCTCTAAACGCTGATTGCAAATCTATACTTCTTGTTTACTGCGACTATTTGACGGAAGTCATGAGCTTTCGAAAGTGTGAATTATAGTCGCAATGAGTTCACACTTACAAAGTGCTCCAAAGTTCTATCTAGGGGCGCGTAATTGTTATGATGTTGAGTACACTCTCATTACAAGGAAGATCATATGCATTACCATTTGAATCGAATGGTGTCTTGAAACTCTCAAATCTATATCAATTGGTGCATGCCAAGGGACCATCCTCGTAATCTTTCGATTCGTTGAACAGCATAAGCAGATCTGAATGAATTTCTTGCCAGAACGCCAGCGGGTAAGAGAGTGCCGTGCACTTTTAGTACGTAGTCTTAATGCAGAGCTAATAATAAGCACATTTGCTTCTAGTTCTGATTTTATGAGTATGAGACAATCGTGGCTACTGGCTAGACAATTTCCCTGAAAATTTAACATTGTAAACTACTGAACTTTGAGGTCTTCTGGGGTGTATGTTCGTACGTTTCTCATCCTCGGATATGAATCGTAGGGATCGTTCAGACCGCGCCGGGATCCGTCCAAACCCGCCCGAATACGTCCAAACCCGCCCAATTCCGCCCAAATACGTCCGAATCAGCACGAACCCGCCTGAACGCCGGAACTGCCAAAGCGCAGCGGCTACGCGGCGAACTAGCATATTGGAGCACGCGAATACTGCGCGCGTAGTGCATATATCTTACAAGGGAAGTACTATCAATGGCCGTGGCCTTTTGATATGAGATGCATATCATCTGAAGCAGCTTCGAACGCTGATTTCAAATCTGCTTTCCGTTTCTGCGAAACGGTCTTCTGAAGAGATTATGGAAGCCTGAACATTCTATTCTGGGGGCGCCCCTTGAGTTTGAGGGCGCTGCTATGTGCATTGGTGGTGCAGTAATGTAGTGGGTAGTTGCTGACATTGAAGATGAAAGGTCGGTGGTTCGAATACTATGCAGGGCGAACTATTTTGCTCATTGAATGTGAGTTTGAAAGCACTCTAAATTGCCTGCAGACACTTAGGCCCGTATGCACGTACATCCCCGCGGGGAGGGGAGGGGATCTGAGAGGGGAAGCGTCATATCTCACTAGTCTACATATCTTTC